AGCCCTGTGAAAGCATCACAGCTTTGCCGATCTCAGAGTGTTAAAATAAAGTAAAAATTCCCGTATCTGCGTCGTGATCCGGAACATCACCAAAATTTAAAAGTGTGTTCCTTGGCCCAGTACCCACATGTGATAAAAATGACATGACAATACGTTCTCAAGTTTTTGAGTAATGTCCACAAACAGAACGACATACGCGACCAAAAACATTACCTCGCCCTTGGCGGAGGTAACAAAGATTAGAGGCATGAAACTAGAACATTTAAGACTTTTATTCTGTAGTAATTTGTTGGAATATGGAAAAGTAAAAACTAAAAATAAACCATAAAGCTGCTTCTTATTGGGGTCACCATTGTAACCAGCACACCTAATAGGTCAGGCAGAAAGAAGCAGACTAGAAAGCCTCAAACAACCAGTTGCTGTGCAAAAACTATGAGTCGTGTTTAAAAAAAAGCTCTGATGATCATGCATGTGAAGATTTAAGTTTCTGCTGAGGTTCGTGTTGAAGATATGACAAGTTTAAAAAGTACTTTCAGTTTTAAAGGTTAACAAAAGGGGATTTAAAGTCATCGATCGCCTCTAATTCATGAAAGAAAAGACGAAGACGAGCGGTGAAGAGGAGGGGGTGGAAGGTCAAAGGGTGAGGATCTGAAGCCGTAACAAGGTTATCTGGAGCGGGTGGGCGGCGGGTACGTGCACGTCCAGTTTTCCCCTCGTACTGCAGATAGAACATGGGTTGCGTGACTAATCTGCGAGYGAAGGGCTGATGTGCTGGAGCGAGCTACATGCCCCTGACAGAACACGCCTATAGGAGGAACACGCAACGCACACGTCAGCGGGGTRCACGTGACGAGTCGTACAGCACACACAGACACAGAGCAGGTGACGGTGGTGATAATTTATACATATTCATGTTTTATTTAGCAGCAGGCTGTAAGCTCAGACCTGTGTGCAGAAATATATGTTTTAATAAATAAATGATGCTGAACTTCTGAAAAACTCTACTTCCTTCCTGAGTCTCCTCTATTACCTCAGAATGATTCACCACGAAACGATGGTTCCCCCAAACCCAACAGTTTGCTGTGTTTCTTTAAAACTTGGACTGTTTTTTGAGAGGTTTAATTTGCACAACATAAAAGACACTCTGAAGATGCAACAAGTGAGAACTCAGAAGAGCTTTGCACCCATCACTGCACCACTGTTGGATCAAACAACCTTTAAACTGAACCAGTCAAACCAAAGTCTGTGTTTTGACCGGACCCTTCCAGGTTCTCCCTAAACYGGAGGAGCTTCAGCTGTTTTAGCTCGTTGATCTGGTGAAAAACAATGGAATAACAATGGAAGATAGAACAACAAAAATCAACTGGAAGCCTCTTTTAGGCGAGTACATACTGTACTGCTAACAAATTGATTGAATACATAACTTTTATTAGTCATTTAGACATAAAGTAGGAATACGATGTCTAAAACGTTATACAGTGGTTCTCAAAATTTTCAGCCTTTGACCCTCAAAATAGCAGCAGCAAAGACCTGAGCCCCCAACTGTTGTTGGATCATAAACATTGTTTTCATGTCAAAAAATAAGAGCATAGTAACAATATTCATTAAGCTATTTTTGTCCATTTGAATACACTAACCTTACTCTTTTGTAACAACAAAGGGAAAAAATGTTTGTTATTTTCTAATATAATTAATTCAGAAAATCTTTTCAGGACCCCACCTTGATGTTTTGGGACCCCATTGTTGGGACTTTGTACTCTGAAAGGTTACATCAGGGTTGCCAGATACTATTACATTTTCTTGATTTCTCTCCTCTGTGCACGTTGTCACCAAACACAGCACACTTCATCTCACAACAGCCTCACTCAGCACATGACAGTTTGGGTCAAAATACAATAATTTTAAAGCTGAAACACAATAATTATCATGTTCCACCTGTAACCCATCCCCACCTCATGATGCAGCCTCCCCCGTGCTTCACTGTGGGAATGGTGACGTCACACCTGCAGCTGTACGGGACAGTTTAGAGTCGCTCAGATGCGTCACCCTGTTGTTTTGTACAACTCGAGCGTGTCATTTAATAATCCTTTCATCTGTTTCTGCCTGACTTTCYGTGACCGTCCCATGTGCTTTATCAAACACAAGGAATCCTGTAAAGTCGTAAAAATCCTCCAGTGCTTTGTGCTGCGAGGCTGCCCCACCTCACATTACCTCCTGGTATTTATAAAGTCCAAATATTGGACTGATACGGGGTAATGAGTCTGCCACATGTCTGAAAACTGCTATGACTCAGCGACTTTGAGAAACTGTAAACAGGCTTTAGAGTAAAACCAAAAATGTTATTTCTAAATGTCTTGTGTTGACTGAACTCTTCGTGTTAGATACGTATGCTAAAGAAAAAATAAGACTTTWATGGTACATTTTGTTCATCTGCAGTCCCAACCCATTTACCGTGTTTTTATTTTTATAGCGAGTCAAGACAAGACGTCCAGGAAGCCCATCACCAGCCCAGCATCCTCTAACCCTGAACCCAGGARAGAGAGCCTTCCACTGGGCACGGCCATCAACGAAAGCAGCCTCCTCTTGGAAGTAAGAAACCATATGACCCGTCTGTGTCTTTGGTGTGTGACCTCTGCTCCTGATCTCTAAAACAGAGGGTATCACGTGCAYACAAAGTTATTTTACTGGCTAAACGTACGTCACACGCCACACACTGGTCACGCATCGCTCCGCCAGTAAAACGTTTTGTCTCAGGAGTCTGGGTCGCCCCGTGGTGTGACCTTCCCCGCAGGGCTTTGGTGTTGCGTGACGTACGGCTGAGACGTTGGTGTCAGAGCTGACGGAGGCGGCGGGAACGCTCGCACGCCAGCGAAGTTTGTGCGTGTCCTGAACGCATGTGGTCATGTGTGAAAGAGAGTGAGAAGAACACACCGAAGCTTGTCAACACAAATCAAAGGAAACGACTCGTTTCTCAGCTGCCTGATCCCAGAACTCTGAAATTTGAGCTTTTAGGGTTCAAGTTTTTAAAAACCCAACCGATTTTAAAGAGTATTGCATGGTCTAACCTTCAGGGTGAACTCTAATACAAACTACGGTCCAATATTTATCCATATTTGACCCAAGCGATTCGAGGGTGTGCTGCTTTCTGCTACTTTCCCAGCCACTCCTGTTCACCTCCCCTCCTTCCCAAATCCATAAACACATATTTTATTTTTTGCATGTGCGTGCAAAGTACCTTTTAAGATTTGTATCGCAAGCCCTTTTTACTCTGACAGGAGAAGGTCAGGACAGCAGCAGGTGGATGTTTCCATTACATAAAGGCTGTGAGTATGTAAGGAAATGAGAGAAATGTTGAGAAAATATACAAAACCAGCTTGCTGCCAGTATTAGAACAGGGTTTCTTTTCCTTCTTTATAACCTGACTTGCTTGGGTTGGATTTATTTGTCAGTTTTCAATAAAAAAAATAAGGTTTAGTTGTATTTTCTTCAGTTGCTTTTGGCAGCTCGGCACCTATAAAATAAATAGCAAATGGGCTTCTCTGTTCCACCGTAAATAATGAGTATTTCAGTACATATGAAGAACAAACGCTCTGTATTCAGCTGGCATTAATTTGCCAATTATTTCCAGTAAAACCAATTAGAGTAAAAAGCCTGAAAAATAAAAATAATAAAAAAATATAGGTTTTGCCTTTTTAGGTTAAATGTGTGACGCCTTTTTGTTCCAGACGTCCTAAAAATAAATAAATATATACAAATATTGAATATTACAGGATGCAGAAACTTAAAAACGTATTAGAGGTTTTGTTGAAGAGTGTTTGTGTGTATTTGTGTGTATCTGTGTGTGTGTGTGTGTGTGTGTGTGTG